CATGAGGACATCCAGCATCAGTTATATCCCCATAGGAAAGCACTGAAGCATTGCTTTCTCTTCGGGAGTGCCTAATGCCCCCACGGCGCATGCACATTCACACCCCATTGTCAGGTGACATCAGAGGAGGCAGTGCGACAACCTGCCCCGAGTGAGATCGGCGCTGGAATCAGTAAGCGTTCAAAGGTTTTTCCATGTTCCATGCTGGCGGAGTAGCAAAGTGGTGGGGGGTGGAGGTATTCTTACGTTATAGAATCCCTTTACTGTCAAAATAGCCCCGTTGGAAAAATTCAGCTATGCTTTCAGTTCGAGTACTCTGGCTTTAAATCCCAAAATCACTTTGAATTCTAAATTTAGCAAATATCCCTGACTGTGTTCAATGACAGAAAAAGGCAACGCTGACAGGGAGTGAAGATTGAGGAGTTCAGTTTCAAGATATAGGTAATTACGGTAGTGTAGGTTTACATAGTTACATAGTTACATATTACATAGTTACATAATTACATAGTTACATAGTTACATATTACATAGTTACATAGTTACATTGTTACATAGTTACACATTGCATAGTTATATAGTCACATAGTTACATAGTTACATATTACATAGTTATATAGTTACATAGTTACATAGTTACACAGTTACACAATTACATTGTTACATAGTTACACAGTTACACAGTTACATATTACATAGTTACATGTTACATAGTTACATTGTTACATATTACATAGTTACATATTACATGGTTACATAGTTACATATTACATAGTTACATAGCTATATAGTTACATATTACATAGTTACATAGTTTCATATTGTATAGTTACATATTACATAGTTACATAGTTACATATTACATAGTTACATAGTTACATATTACATCGTTACATATTACATAGTTACATAGTTACATATTACATTGTTATATTGTTACATATTACATAGTTACATAGTTACATAGTTACATAGTTACATATTACATGGTTACATAGTTACAGTTACATAGCTGAAAAGAGACTTGCATCCATCAAGTTCAGCCTTCCTCACATTTGTTTTTTGCTGTTTCGATATTTAATTTTATTTTTCTGACCTCACAAACAAATTTTTTATAAATAAATGGGATAAGTAAAGATACTTCTAAAATCCAGGCGTGTGACTTTTCCCCTTTAAGGTATTATTGGTGACATTTGAAATCAGTTTAATATCATCAGATTACATTTTTTTTCTTTTATGTTTTATTTCATGTATACTATATAACCTCTCCTTTATATGTCAGATTTATCTCGCCCAGTATCATAAAAAGGTCAGTTCATTAGGACAAAAGCTATAAATCTTGTTTTCTATGGCACAGATATTTTAATATTGTTAATAGATCTAGATGGCTTAGGATATCTTTCGTATATAATGAGTCTGTTCAGTTTTATTTAAACTAGATCCCATGCACTAGATTTTTTTTTTTTTCTTTGCAAACAATCTAGAGAAGACGAAAAAAAATATTATAAAGGAGAGGAATACAAAAAGTCCCAATGATAGATGTTGAAATGCACGTAAGTACAGATAATTACGCTATGAAAGGTAGTAAAATTGAAAGAGTGAATTCGGGGTGGCTTTTCTGAAGCTAATCTTTGAGTGATTACTGGTAATGTCGCACAGAAAGGGCCTTATTACAAAAAGAAATGAATAAATAAAACCAATGAATATGTGAAAAATACATATTTTGGCTGCTGGCAGTACGACTAAGAAGCTGCTGGGTTATTACGGTTCATTAAATATTCCATTAAGGATGGAAGCACAGGATATCCTCAACATCTCCACAGCCCCGACCCCCTCCTAGGATATCACGGACCATGTTACAGAATGTATCAAGAATAATATGGGAGTCTGCTTAATATATCATTAGAAATAAAATTAGTTTGGGTGCAGCTAAATTATACATCACATGGTCGGGTGCTGAAGACGAAAATTAAGGGTGGAATGAATATCAATTTTTAAGGGAAGGAGGAAATGGAAAATGCTATATACCAGAGCTCCCGTCTGCTGTCTTGCACCCAGCATGGTAGCATGCATCCAAGTGTTCTGTCTTATTTTGCCTGTTTTGTCTTTGGTGACATTCAGTCCAATCCAACTTAAAGGGTTAAAATGCTGTAGTAACTATAAAAGTCATTTTTATAGAAATGTGTCTATGCCTGTCACAATAATATACAGAAGTTTATTTTACAGAATGTTTGATTGCTGATCAAGTCACATATGAATGTGTGAAGCTAATCTGGAACTATGACTTGAAATTATTTAAGTGTTGAATTTCAGCTTGCTTATATTAGTGATATGCTCTAACCAAGTAATTTAACATTGAAGTGGCTGTCACCCTCTGAGGTCTTTGCATAATTTGCAAAGGGCCAGATGGTAACATCACAACTTATTGTGCCATGGCCAAGGGTGCAGCAACATTGAGTTATTCTACCTGATGCAGTGCCTTACGGGCACGTCCATGTTTGAGCTTCACAACAAAGATCTTTATCCAACAGCAACCCCTATCAGTGCTGTAATCTTGAACAAGAGCCTCCATAGAAATGGCTTACAAAGGATCCTGGAGATCAAAGGAGCCTTCATAGATGTTGTTTCGCGATGAGTGAGACAATTCAGGCCCTGGGGAGTCAGCACAGCTAAAGGGACAAGGGCACATGTATGAGTGTGGGGATGGTGCTAGTGACTGGCTATATGTGTTTAGGGGAGTGGTTATGGGTTTGTAGTGGGGCAGGGATCATCTTACCTCAGTGCCTTTTGGGATTGTGGCCAGCAAACAACTTCCCTCCCACCCACCCTAATTTTCTGTTTTTTGTTCTGTCACAGCTAGCAGGGTGTGTGTCCTTGCCAACAGGGTTGGGGAGCAGATGGAATGTCAGGAGATGGACATGGTGGGTCTCAACCTCCCTTGCTCTGTAAGGTAAACTTTTAAGTTACCGAATAGGACGTGCCCACCGAGCAAAAAGCCAGCTTGTGGTAGAGCATTTAAGATGATGGGAATTTTTGGTTTAGACGAGGGGGGAGGCGAGACACTAGTGGGTAAAGTTTTTGGTGCATAGACACCTGGTTAAGTTCGTTGGCAAGGACGGTTATTTCAGTTGGAGGCTGTAGGGCAATAAGTGTAATTTATATGTTAATTATGGTATATATATATATATATATATATATATATATATTTATGCTTTTATTTACATTTGAATTAAAGAAAAATAATAAAGTTCGGATGAGTCCTACAGTTGTAAGTTTAATAAATGCTGTGGCCTGTTTAGTTCAATATTCGTTGTTTGTCATTATTGGGGGGAGAATTGGGGTAGTCTCCTTACTCTTAGTGGCACCACATTCCCTGCTACGTACATACATGTATTCCTGTAGCCATTGCTACACATGGCTGTTAGAAGTAAAAAAAACCTTTGTCAGGTTTTGTCAACCTGAGGATTTACCATAAGACAAATAAGTGCCTACTTTGTCTTATGATATATTTTGACTGTGTTGGAATTTCATTAAATGTTTTTGACGGGTGGCAGAATCAACATATTCTGCAGCATGCATTCAACCATAGACATTTAAAAAAATTTTTGACATTCCGGAGGGTAACAGTAGGTGGGGAGGACCCTGACCAAGTGAGCTCACAATTTAAAAGAATGAGGCAGAAATACACAGAGAGAAGTGAGGGAGTCAAATGATCTGAATATACCTAAAAGGTTGAAAGGGGTGTTTGGGTGGACAGGGCTCAGTAAGTGGTAGAGAGCCAAGAAAAGCTGTAAGGGATGAGGAGTTAAATGGCGATCTGATGGCCTTCTTTGAAGGACTGCGGGATCTTTCAACATTCTTCAGAGATATCAGTGTTGTACCCTCCAGCATGGGCGAGAGTACATTTCTTACATCAGCTCCTGGGAATGAAGCAGATGGACAGCAATTGTGGTATCCATGAGGGACAGATTCAGGTAAGTAAAAAGTACCTCTTCCTGCACCCCACGGCCACCTCACTGCAAGCTGCAAAGTTATCATCCCTCCATCACTCCAGAAGATGACAGCGCTGCTTTACGTAGCGAATCCTGGTAAAATGAGAGCTGACTTGCAACATTTAGGATCAAATAGCCAAACTGAAAAAAATACAACTCTAAATGAGTTTGAGAGTTTATCTGTGTTATCTGTTTAACAATCACAACCCTACAAGTTCCTTAAGATTTATACCCCATGTAAACTAATAAATTAATTAATCTTTTAGAGGAAATATGAAAAAAAAAGGCAAGCAAGAATCAAGTTTAAGATAATCAGAATAAACACATCTGTATAATTGAAGATGTAATAGTTAAAAATGTATTTTAATCTTAATTGAGATAAATTAAAGGAAATCAATGATATTGCTACACCACAAAATTCTAATTCACTTAATAAATGACCCCAACATCCAGAAAGAAAAGAAATGATTTAATTGTGCCCACTATTAAAAAACAATTCACAGTCACATGTATTTTCCTCTTAACCAAAAAATACATACAATACTGCCCAAGTGTCCCTATTTTGGAGAGACAGTCCCTATGTTGGACCCAAATCACTGTGTCCCTCTTTTCTCTCCTAATGTCCCTCTTTTCTAGGAGCTCCATATTTTTGGTGTGTCTGAGTGTATGACAGAGCTCCACAGCAATAATACTCCCAGTAATGTGTCTGAGTGTATAACAGAGCTCCACAGCAATAATACTCCCAGTAATGTGTCTGAGTGTATAACAGAGCTCCACAGCAATAATACTCCCAGTAATGTGTCTGAGTGTATAACAGAGCCCCACAGCAATAATACTCCCAGTAATGTGTCTGAGTGTATAACAGAGCTCCACAGCAACAATACTCCCAGTAATGTCTGAGTGTATAACAGAGCTCCACAGCAATAATACTCCCAGTAATGTGTCTGAGTGTATAACAGAGCTCCACAGCAATAATACTCCCAGTAATGTGTCTGAGTGTATAACAGAGCTCCACAGCAATAATACTCCCAGTAATGTGTCTGAGTGTATAACAGAGCTCCACAGCAATAATACTCCCAGTAATGTGTCTGAGTGTATAACAGAGCCCCACAGCAATAATACTCCCAGTAATGTGTCTGAGTGTATAACAGAGCCCCACAGCAATAATACTCCCAGTAATGTGTCTGAGTGTATAACAGAGCTCCACAGCAATAATACTCCCAGTAATGTGTCTGAGTGTATAACAGGCTTCACAGCAATAATACTCCCAGTAATGTGTCTGAGTGTATAACAGAGCTCCACAGCAATAATACTCCCAGTAATGTGTCTGAGTGTATAACAGAGCTCCACAGTAATAATACTCCCAGTAATGTGTCTGAGTGTATAACAGAGCCCCACAGCAATAATACTCCCAGTAATGTGTCTGAGTGTATAACAGAGGTCCACAGCAATAATACTCCCAGTAATGTGTCTGAGTGTATAACAGAGCTCACAGCAATAATACTCCCAGTAATGTGTCTGACTGTATAACAGAGTCCCACAGCAATAATACTCCCAGTAATGTGTCTGAGTGTATAACAGAGCTCCACAGCAATAATACTCCCAGTAATGTGTCTGAGTGTATAACAGAGCTCCACAGCAATAATACTCCCAGTAATGTGTCTGGGTGTATAACAGAGCTTCACAGCAATAATACTCCCAGTAATGTGTCTGAGTGTATAACAGAGCTCCACAGCAATAATACTCACAGTAATGTGTCTGAGTGTATAACAGAGCTCCACAGCAATAATACTGTGTGTAATGTGTCTGAGTGTATAACAGAGCTCCATAGCAATAAAACTCCCAGTAATGTGTCTGAGTGTGTAACAGAGCTTCACAGCAATAACCCCAGTAATGTCTGAGTGTATAACAGGCTCCACGGCAATAATGCTCCCAGTAATGTGTCTGGTGTAACAGGGCTCCCACAGTAGTAATACTCCCAGTAATGTGTCTGGGTGTCTTAGAGCTCCATAGCAATGAAAACTCCCAGTAATGTGGAGTGTGTAACAGACTTCACAGCAATAATACTCCCAATGTGTGTGTCTGAGTGTATAACAGGCTCTCCCACAGCAACAATACTCCCAGTAATGTGTCTGAG